CATGAGGAGGGTGGAACTGTGCACAAGGGTTGCACCATGATCTGAAACGATTTATAGTGACGATGCCATCACATGGAGCCAAGGCACAGCTGACGAATCCGAGGCATATTCACCATCATTCAAAATCCATTAGAACGATCACGATCGAGAGGAAGCAAATAAGTGGAAACATCTTAACGGATTTGTGTAGTATACAGTGAATTCTAGTCCATAATTTCAGTGACACATCCACCACCATCACCATCACCACCACCACCACCACCACCACCACCACTAACAACAACAACAAGTCAGTGTTCCAGCTCAGCACCCTCTGAGCCCGAAACCGCAGGATAGCTCCGTTAACCAAGGTTGACACAATCGATGTATGCGGAAAGTGCTTATTCGCAATTTCGCGTTGGTGTGCTGCCTACATCCGTTAGATATTCAGATTCTCTGAGGGAAAAAGGATGAACTGAATCATTTTGACTTGATTCGGACTGGAAAGAATGCGTTGTGTACCTAAATGTCTGTTTGTCATTATTATTATTATTATTATTATTATTATTATTATTATTATTATTAATTCGCCAGGCAGTAATCGTCCTAAAATTTATCTCTGGTTTGCTACAACCCTCCCACTCATAACAGACGGTCACGTGATTGCTGCCAGTCATCCTTATAACACATATGCCGGTTATCGTCCATCCAGTCGTCAAGGCTGTTATCGACCGAACTTGACCATGGAAATGACTGGGAGTGGGAGTATGCTCAAATTGCACGCATTAAATTGTCCCGGGACCAGTCCGGGTGGATCATGTGGTTGTTACATTTTGTCCGATCCGCAAAACGGATGTTCCACAGTCACATCCGCGGTCCAGTGGACTCAGGGTAATACAATCGAACTGACCGACCCATATGGGACACATTATTCGCCACAGTATCCCGTCTCGCGTCCACTGCCAATCCCCAACGGACCTCCGTTACCACCACCACGTAGTCCCATTGTAGCCGGGTCCCATACGGGTACATTACGTCGAGCGAACACATATCGACCTAACGATGGGGAACAAATCGTCAGTGATGGATTGGATCACACCACTCAGACTGGCTATCCCGATTCGCATATGAACTACGGACAAATGAATGGACCCACGATCGGATCCACGTCGAACGGAACCAATGACGATTACGAACATGATCATACCCAGACTCATTTGGATATGGATAACACCCACGGGACCGGACCACCTGTACGAATTGATCTACGACAATCGTCACAAGAAAGAAATGGCACACTCAATGAAACTGATCAGCTGACTTCCAAATCACGTGTCCGTCTCGCACATATGGGTCTGCCTCCATTGGCCTCCAAATCCGGCATGGTTTCCACAAATGGGACTGACGAACGAGTGGACAATATGGAACGTGATCCACTGAACGCAACCGGTCAATGATAATGCTGCCTTAGAATTAATATACATATGCATACATACACCCATATATATATATATATATATATATACATATTGTGACTATTGCCCCCGTTCTCATCACGCCCATCCCCCACTCCCCTCCAAGGGAAGTCTATCAACGTGACTTTATCTTGCAATGTCATATTCACTTTGTTTGATGATGGTGATCATGATGATCATGAAGATGACGATGACGATGATGATACATATGATTCTGAATTATTCATTTACAGTACATGCACCACGGTGTGTCAACATGCAGCGGTGTGTGTGTGTGTGTGTGAGTGTGCATGTGTTCGAAAATTTGTGCAATCCTCATCATTGTGAATGTCAGATTGTCAAATCATCTCGTTGAAGTCTCTCTTGCTCTCTTTTCATTCTTGTTGGTTTCATCGATGACTCCCTTTTCCCTTGTGCTACTTTTTTCTCAATCACAACACATCCTGTTAATATGGGCTTCCCCCCCCCCCTCTCC